AATATAGTAGTCAAAGAATATACATGCGTGACCAGTGGACATGAACAATGGTGTGTGGATTGCCTGAGGGAGTGGGGTGGTCTTGGTGGAGGGAGACAAAAGGGAAAAAACTGGGACAACTATAATATCATAAATAATAAAATACAATTTAAATTAAATACAAAAAAAATAAGGAGTTGTGTGACGTTGGGAGTCAAGGTTTTCTCATTTGCAAAATAGAATAATAACCATTTCTTCTGTTCCTTGTTGGGAGTAGATGAGACAAAATGCTTAATGTGGCAATACATGATAAGCACTCAAAAAGAGGTGTGTACTACTCAATAAGAGGATATATAGCCTGGGTTTGGAAGGCTTCCTGGAGGCAGTGACTCTTGAGTGCAGTGTTAACCACTGAATAGGAAGGGGAAGGAATCTAGAAAGAATCTTAAAGAAAGGTTAAGTTTCCACTGTAACACTGAGAATTTTTCATAATCCAGTCTCTACCTATCTCACCAATCTCATGTCTCTTTCAAATCCCCTCTTCCAGACTGGTTTACTCACAGAGTTCAGAATATGCTTAAACTTACTTTCTTGTCTCTATCACTGCTTAAGTGATACCCATCCCTGTTCCTCACACTAACCTAAAGCCTATTTATAAAATCAACATAAATTCTACCTTCTTGTAATTGATGAGTCTGGTACTTATCAATAGCTCCATTCTTTGACCTTTTCCATCACAGGGTCAGATGAACATATTCCCCTACATACTTCCTTTGCCCACCCGTTACATACACCTTTGCACTGAGATTTAACTTTTTACATGAGAATGCCATGTCTCTATTAAAATGTAATTTCCACGAGGGCCAGGTTTCATATAATCAAGAGAAAATAAGGCAAGGATATAGCATTTTAGTCTCAGATCTATTTGGTACTTGAAGGAATAGATCAGAAAACTGTTAGCAACAGCCTCAGGGTTAAACACAAAGCACATGACAGATCTGTAGCAGCTTAAATACTTAGACTTAATAAGGTTTACTGTTTTTAGGTCCTTGTCTTGACATGCCCTGACCTCTATCAACAGCAACCTATAAAAACTTTCTACTGTTGATTGTGTAAGTCATTCAAGATGTCTCAAATCCTTCTGGGAATAAGGCATGAAATAATAAAATAAAGGTCAGGAGACAGGCTGATAAACAACTCCTCAGACATGGCTACTATACTGGGAGGTAGCATATGAAACAGTAGAATCAACAAATCTTGGGTTAAATCCTGGCTCTTGAAACTCACTGGCTATAGAACTTGGAAATCCTTAATCTCTCTGAGAAACAATTTCCTCATCTAATACTGTGGATTAACCACTTACCACTCAGTTTCTGTGAAAATTAAATGAGTTAATACATATATAAAGTAGCACAGTGCCAGAAAGATAATACTTGCTTAATTATTCATTATTAAAACATTATACCAACCCATTTATCCTCTGCAACTCCTTTAAAGAAAGTAGTAAAAGAGTGATTTTCTTCCCTCTTAAAGATATACCAAGATCAACTTGCTGAAACCCATTGAGGCCACAGGCCTGAACAAGGAATCCTAACCCTAATATCCAATGTAAAGTAGGGTCATCTTTATAGCTAATCTCTACCTGCTACAGTGAGGGCGGGAAAAAAGCTAGATTAGATTCTTGTCATACTTCTTAGAGTAACTGAGTCCTTCCAACATTAAGAACATTCAATTTTTGATAAAGGAAAAAGTGGGAGGCTTAGAGACTATAATCAAGCTGAACTCCCACACAAAGAAAAAAGATAAATAGTGTTCCATAAAGCATAACAGGTGAACTCTTCACACCCCTGAAGGCATATGAGATTGTGACCACTGCCTCTGACAAATTCTTCCACCACCCATTGTTAGTCCAAGATGGCAGGAATTATAAAATAACAGGTGAAACGGGCCAAAGAATCCTGAACTCTTGGAAGTGGAAGAAACCTCCAAGGTCATCTGGCCTAAGCCTCTCCTTACACAGTTGAGGAAGTTGGTACAAAAAAGAAGCCAAAATGCATGCCAAACTTCTTTTTTGCTTCCCTAGATACTCACTTCATTTTTTTTCCTAAGATTTCATTATTTCCTACACAGTAAGCAAGATTAGACAGAACATTTCATTTGCCTTGCAAAATGAACCCAACCCCTGGAAATATCCAAGACTCTTGCCCCTAACTGGCACAAAAAAGCAAAGGTATATACATTTTTACAGTTACCTGATTGAACTATCAAGTCCCTGCATAGGAAGTTGTACAAAGACAAAGAGTAGCAATACAGCCCACAAACAGAAATGCATAATGAGACCTAGAGGCTCTTCATAGTTCTTTTATATAAAGAAAGATCTGTATGGGACTGGCAAAATCACTTGAAGTTTCTAGTGGTGATACCTGACTTCTTCCCTGTGTATCTTCATGACACAGTAAGAAAAGCTGAATTAGACTGTAACATTTCTTAGGAGTACCCCATACCAACTAACTCTGGGAGGTGATGAACAGAAACATAATACCCTTCCTTGTTAACCTAACCAACCAAACTTCAAGTGATTGTTTTAATCTAAATTCAATCCAAAATGTGTGGCTCTACTCTCCAATGCTATCAACTTGTATGAGAAAGACATAAACATACTTAGGAAAATTAAAGAACTTACCCAGTGAATAAATCCATTCACTTGGAATAAATGCACATACAATACAGAAATTAAACCACTTTTGGGTGAAATGTATTCACTAGATATAATTATTCTTCTCAAATAGTCCCTTGAAGTTGTCCTAACCCAATGATTAAAGCTAACTTTAGGAACTTTAGGTCTACAACACCAACACAAAATTTTAGTGAATGGTGAGCTAAACATTAAGCAACATTGTTAGGCAAATACCAAAAAAGGTAAAGAGATACTATACTGAACTTTAAAAATATTTAGTGACTACAACATGCAAGATAATATCAGCGTTTTGCTCTGCTCTAGTCAGGAGATCCTGGTAATACTTTTGGATGCCAAAGTCAACAGACTATGTCCAAGTATGTTAAATTCCTAAGAGACAAGAATCAAACCTCAAACCACATCACAAAAGAGCAAATGTAATAACTAGGGATATTTGGGCTATAGAAGAAAGAAACAAAACAGAAGCAGGACAACTAAATGCCTTTAAATATTTGCAGGGCAATCAGAAAAGGAGCTACCATTGTTTTAATGAGCCCTAGGAGAAAAACAAGTACCAAAAGACGAAAAACAGAAAAACAAGTTTTGGAATAATAATAACTTTCCATGTTAGCTTCAAATGTCAATAAAATCAACTTCCAATATTTTATAACAAGAAAGAAGGCAAAGTATGAATGATTCTGAAAGCCATATTTTATGGAGAATAATCTGTGAGTGGTGGCCAGGCTATTGCAAAATTCCAGGTAAGAAAAGACGATGGACTGTTTTAGGTAGTAGTAGTAATGGGAAAAGAAAGGAGTGGAAGGCTCACATAGAGCTCATGGTATTTGATGACTTCTTGGAGACTCTTGGAATAATAGTATTTAGTGGGACTTACTGTGTTAATCTAGCCATTCATCTACTCACAATAACAGCAATAGTAAATACATAGTGTTAGCAAGTGTCAAGAAATGTTCTAAATGTTTTACATAGTTGAACTCAGTTCATCCTCATAACCCTAGGAAATGTATTCTATCATCATGCACATTTTACCAACCAGAAACTAAGGCTTTCATCAGTAAAGTTGGTCAAAAAATAAATATTAAAGAGCTAGTAGGAAGTTAGATACCAGATTTGGACCTACATTATCCCAAAGCTAAAGCTCTGAATCCATACACTAGACAGGTGTAAAAGAAAGGCAACAAAATTGAAGGCGGGCAGCATGTAGTAATGGTAACAGTCCAGTGAGTGAAAGAGCATGAGGGTTAAGAGGACTGTAGGGGCAGGTAAGGATTTGGCAGTAGCAGAATCAGAGGACCACTATCCGTGTCAAGAAACAGAAAATAGATGGCAATATAGAAACATGATGCACTTTGTTTAAAGAGAGAGAGAGAGAGAGAGAGAGAGAGAGAGAGAACACGAGGAAAAAAACCCAGATAATAAAACACTTGCATTGAATCCACATTCCTAGAGATGGAACATAAAAATTAACTTTTTAGTTGTTGTTTTTAAGCAAAACCCTGGGTAATTCTGAGACAGAATTAGGTATGGGAACTTCTGTAACAGATCTCTTTCTGCTTTCAAATTCTAGTTGACACTAAATGAATTTCCCCGAAATGAAAGGAGGAAGGGACGCAGGGATACTAGCACGAAGAAAACTGCTGTGCATTTACAGGCTACACCGCTTATGTTCCCGTTTTTACTAAAGAGTCTCTCATAGGAATAGGTACAGACCAGACAGTGGAAGGAGGGATGTGTTGTTCATGGTGTGCTGGCTAAAAAGCAGGCTTTCCCCTGCGACTTTCTGGTACCATTAGCGGAAGGAAACGCGTCCTGACTATAATACACGTGGTAATCCAACTACAAAAAATGAGATTGGATTTCTCAGGCTATGGTGTGCCTGGCTAACGATGGATGACAATATACTCGTTTACGTGCTCAAAAGGGTTACAGAAAACCACTAGGTTGGGGCCTCCCTGCTCAGAGGCCAAAAGAATCTGGCTCACCCGAAGAGGTGTCTGCTCTGCAATTACACTTCAAGTACCCTACTCCCGGAGATGATCTGTGCCGCGCATACCTGAGGGTCCTCTGGTAAGATTGATCTCTTCCTCAGTGACCAAATAATCCACTCTTCCGTTCATGTTTTACTGCCTGTCTGGTTTCCCACCTGGTCGACTAACGCTAGCACAGGTGAAGGTGAATCAATCTCAGCGGAGAACCCAAAACACAACACTTTCGGTTGCAGCAGCTCCCCGACCGGAAGGGGAAGCCGAGAGCGCTGGAAGCGCCAGGAACTCTGGGAATTGTGGTTCTGGTAGCTGACACGTTGCGTTATCTCACCCGGCGCTCAAAGGAAAGTGTGAGGTGAGCTAGGAGCGAGTTACAGTTGGGAGTTGGGGGATGAAGGGATAGTAAAAGTAAGAGAAATAAGTAAATTCATAGTGTCAAGGAAAAATTAAAAATAAAGTATCCTGCCACTTCAGAAAGTCTCTATAAATGTAGAAGAGAGAGAGAGAGAGAGAGAGAGAGAGAGAGAGAAGGAGCTAGGAGAGCTCTATTATTCAATAAGTATTAACCAGACTGGGCTGGGCGTCTCAGGCAATCTGCTAAAGCGATTACAAAGACAAACGGAAACCTCACTCTTCTCTGGAACCAAGCACATACCATCCATGACAAGCGCGTGTTTTCATGTCAGAGGACTAAACACCCTTTGCTGTACATCCTTTGGTAAGTCACCCTTTGGGTAGCCATTTGTGTTAGTTACTTGCCATTGTCCAAAGTAAAAAAAAATAAAACTATTGTCTCTGTGACAAGCAGGTCCTTACAGCTTGGAGCATGGCGCCTATATACATATAAAAGGGACAGTGGAAGGATTTATGATTACAGGTTTGCTCAAGAAAATCCTTTAAGAAAAGTAGGGGGGGGTGGATAAATGATAATGGAAAGAAATTATTTTTTAATTTAAATTTAAAACAAGATAAAGTATCACCAGTTTTGAAGTTTAAAAAAAAAATAAAAGGGAAGAGGGGTAACGATCTCTTCCTTTTAGTAAAACGGAGAATTCAATCTTTAAAAAATAAAAATCCTTACGGTAAGACTAGTTAGTAGGTGAACTAACTATGACTTCAGCCCAGCCTTCCTAACTCTTGAGGCAGATTTCCAAAACAGTGCTTGAAGAAACCTTCAAGGGTCAAAAAACTCACAAGTCCTGTTACAGAAAAGACGACTTAGACGGCCCGGGAGTTTACGAAGTGGAGTTTATTCACGCATGCGGACCCAGAGGAGATAAAATTCCAAATTCTGGGCATCCAACTTAAGCTGGGGCTTGCTTATATGCTTGTTACACAGGCAGAAGGAGGAGGGGGAGGCAGCTGCTGAAAGCAAGCAGAAAGCGAAAGTCAGTCCACGACCTTGAGATAACTGCGTATCTGGGAAAGGCTGCTGGTCAGCTCCTAAGAATGGCTACTGTTCAGCTATGTCCTGTCACAACCCTAAGAACCAAGAAGGCAGCTTAAATGTAGAAAGCAACCTGGAGTGAGACCACAGGAATTGGGGGTGAGGACTGTAAAGGAAGCAGTCTGATTAAGTCATTCAAATTAAGATTAAATAATTAAAACAGAAGCTACTGTGTTTACCAAACAGAACAAGGAAGAGGTAGATGCCCCTGGAAGGCCTTTTATTTGCCAATCCTGAGAGAAGTTAATGTGGGATAGTGGACAGGAACTCAGGAGATGACGTCAGAAGGCTTGACGTCAAGTTTCGATTTTATCTTCCAGTTCTCTAGCTTTGACCAGGTAACATAATTATCTCCTGTGCCACCCATTTCTAAAAGGGTATAATAATAGATCTTTAAAAGGTTGTTGAAAGGATAAGATGAGATGAAATTTTAAAAATTACTTTTCAACCTCAAAATCAGATTCCCATCATCCTTCCTCCAACCCTCTTTAACATAAGGTGAGTGAATGAGTGAATAAAATGATCATAAAAGTGCCCTGGCTGGTGTGGCTCAGTGGGTTGAGTGCCAGCCTGCGAACCAAAGGGTCACCTATTCAATTCAATGTGTCAGGGCACATGCCTGGGTTGCCAGCGAGGTCCTCAGTTGGCAAGTGTGTGAGAGGCAAGAACACACTGACGTTTCTCTCCCTCTCTTTCTCCTTCCCTTCCCCTCTGACTATAAATAAATAAATAAATAAATAAGCAAAATCTTTTTAAAAAATGATCATAAAAGCAGCGTTTGTTAAGTGAAAAGCTAAGGTATAGGACGCATTTGAATATCAAGAGAAAAAAGATCAAATAGAAATTGGAAAAGAAAATCAAAGCTATCAATGAAGAAATTTGGAGAAAAAAGGTTTTTTGTGGACCACTTATGGGGAAGTCACTACTCTGTACCTGGGAAGATTGCCCTTTTCACTAGAGCACACAGCTTCAAGAGAAACACAAGTTGGTAAAAGGGAAAGTCACCAAATAAGTAGAAATGCTGGTAGTAAGTGGAGTGACAGATTAGACATGTAAATTATCTTTATATCTTAATGTAAGTTTTTTTAACAATGAGGAAACTTTAATATGTAGGAAGAAAGAAAACAGAGAATATAGGGATTTCTGCTCAGAGAAGACAATGAGAAAAATTAGGATTCAAGATAGTGATGGGGTATTTAGGGAATGACAAACACAACTGAGTCTGTGAGTGAAAAAAGCAGAATGAGTGGTAGGTGATGGCACTGAATGAGTAGGCTAGAAACAGATCATGGAGGAAAACTAGAGCAGAGATAGCACACTTAATTCTATATGCAACAGGCTTAGATGGAGATTTATTTATCTCATACTAGCACAGATACACACTTAATTCTATATGCAATAAATTTAGATGGAGGTTTGTTTATCTCATGTTAAATAACTCTAGAAATCAATAGTTTAGGCCTGCTATCAAGACTCCTCAGTCCCTGGGACCCAGGTTCCTTCCAGCTTTCTATCCTCCTCTCTCCAGTCCCCGCCCCAGAGTATGGGCTTTGCTTCATGGACCTGAATGGTTAAGATGGGTTTTAGAACTCCAACTATCATTTTCACACTCCAAGAAAGTAGTGAAAAAAAGGCAAAGAAAGGTTCACTTCATACCTTTACAGAGACCTCTTGGAAGTTTCATACACTTCTTATTTCTCATTATCGAGAAACCCTTTTTTACAATAAGGGATGCCTAAGATATGTTATATTTTAGTGGGATAGAGATGTGCCAAATAAAAAAAATCAGGATTACTATTATAATTTAAAAGATGAGAATGGATATTGGGAGGCCATAGGTAGTCTGACACAAGAAATGACACTTTCTGTCTGAGCTCGCCTTTCTGTTCAAGGCCTTATGACCTTAAGGTATATAAAAACTATGAATCTTGGTTATTTCAGCCTACTATTTATAAGATTAGTGAAAACTTTGTCTCACACCTTGAGGTTTTTACTCACAACTTGCTCTGTTTTTGCACATTTTATGTCATATATTCACTTTGTCTTCCCATTGGTCTCTTTGTTCCTACTTCTTCCTACTTCAGTATTTTACTCTATCAGCCTCTCTGATGACTAACTCATGGATATATTGCATTTAGGACTTAACCCCCTCTTCTTTGATACAGCATTTGTTCCAATTTTCTGCTGCATAATTGATCTCTTTGGTTTCAGACTTGCATATTTTATTTTTTATATGTTCCTTAAGTGACTAAACCTTTTTCTGATTGACATTTGTTTACCTGCTGTGTTATTACATTTTATCAAATTGTATTAGTTTGTTAGGGCTACCAAAACAAATCCCAAAGAGTGAGTGGCTTAAACAAAAAAAATTATTTTCTCATAGTTCTGGAGACTAGAAGTCAAAGATCAGGGTGTTGGTAGTATTGGTGTCTTCCCAGGCCTCTCTCCTTGGCTTGTAGATGTCTGTCTTCTTCCTCTGTGTATATATGATCTTCCTTCTATGTGTGCAAAATATATGTCCAAATTTCCTCTTCTTATAAGGACACCAGTCATATTGATTTAGGGCTCATCCTAAAGACCTCACTATAACTTACCTCAATAAAGACCTTATCTCCAAATACGGTTAACCTTCTGAGATACTGCAGGTTAGAGCTTCAACATATGAACTTTGGGAGGACACAGTTTATCCCATAACACAGATTACAGTGATGGCTTACAGATTTTAGAACTGTTGTATATCTTTAAAGTAGCACTGCATATCTGCTTTGGCCCATTACATGTTGGTTTTACAACTTAATCCTGATACAGGACTATTTCTTTAATTTCCAAATTCTTGGGGAAAGTTGCACTGCAGACCTCAACCACTGATAACAGCAAGTATTAGCAAGGCATTTACAGTGATCTCATCTTCCAGCAGCCTTTTTGGTTGGTACTCTCCATTCTTTTATATAAATACACTCTCTTCACAAGAAATTTAATTTAGTCTCCTGATTATGAATGCCATTAATATTCCAGTCTTCACCTCTTCACTTGGCATTAATCTTGTATCAGCTGTCTACAGGTCATCTCAAAATTTGGATACTTAATAGGCACCTTAAATTGCCATAATAAAAATAGAATTCCTAATACCTATGCTTCCAAACCTACAAGGTCTGTCCATAAAAAGTCCAACCATTGTTAATATAATGAGAGTGGTTTGTGTGACATTGATGTAACATGGCAGCCATGGAGAGTGGACTGGAATGCACATGCATGAACCATGGTAACCTCACTGTACTAGTCAATGAGGGCAGTAGATGTCATTGAGTGAGCATGTGTACTGTGTGGCTGTCGCATTCAAAGCTGCTGAGTGAGTAGGGCAATGAATCTGCATCAAACTTTGCATTAAGCATGAGTGTTCCTCCACGGAAACTATTCAGATGATTCAGAAGACCACAGCAATGGGTAACTGGTGACTGGCAGCTCCATCACAACAATGCACCCACTCATTGGCAAAACAGCAAATCATCCAGGTGACTGAGTTCCCCCTACAGCCCAGATTTGGTATCCTGCAACTTCTGGCTTTTCCCAAAACTAAAATCACCTTTGAAAGGGAAGAGATTTCAGACATTGATGAGATTCAGGAGCTTACAATAGGGCAGCTGATGGATATTGGGAGAACTGTGTGAGGTCCCAAGTTGCCTACTTTGAAGGAGACTAAGGTGTCATTGTCCTATGTACAATGTTCCTTGTTTCTTATATATTTTACAATAAATGTCTCTATTTTTTATCTTACATAGCTGGATACCTTCTGGACAAACCTTGTATACGTCCTTTAGTCTTTTCTCTTCCTTGGGTCACTTGATTTGCTCAGTTCAAATAAAAATCTTCACAAGCATTCTTGATCATATTCTTTCTCTCACATCCTACATACAACCCATCAGAAAGTCTAGTTGTCTCTACATACAAAAAATATATAGTCTGTATCTGACAATCTCTGTTACTACCATCTTTTCCAAATTACCAGTATTTATTGACTGGACTTCTGCTACTCTTCCTAACGGTTTGCCCTATTACTACTCCCACCCTCAATACATTCTTCCCGTAGAAGTTGGGGCAATCTTGCAAAAATGTAAATTAGATCATACCATACATCTGCTTAAAATCCTTCAATCAATTCCATGTGACTTAGAATAAATGTCAAAGTCCTTAATATTGCCCACAAGGTCCCACATTATCTGGCCTGTATCTAGCTTTCTCATTCACCTACCACCACAACCCCCTTCCCTCTC